CGCTCAGTTTGCCTATCTGCCTGAGGATGATCTCCACTCGAGAGTTTCAAAGTCACTTGCATAGCCTTTGCAAAGCTTTTCCAAAATCCACTGGTGAACTTTGAATCTCGATCACTAATGATATCCTCTGGCAAACCAAAATCAGGAAAAACCTTCTCCAAGTAAACCGCAGCTAAGTCTGAGGTAGTGACAGTCTTCCGAAAAGCCAACAATCGCACATACTTCGTCAACCGATCCACTATGACCCATACTTGCTCCTTTTGCCTTTGTGTTTATGGCAAACAAGTGATGAAGTCTATAGAGATACTACACCAATGGCTTTGAGGAATAGGTAAAGGTTGTAAGAGTCCCCCTGGCTTCTCCCGTGGCACTTTAACCCGTTGACAAAGCTCGCATGATTTACAATACTTGAGGATATCAGTCTTCATATTCCTCCAATAAAAGTTGTGCTTAATTAACTCATACGTCTTCTTCCCCCCAAAATGACCGGCCTCTGGACAATCATGATAGTGGAATAAAACTTGAGTAATTAACATATCCACCCTTGGCAAATATACACGGCCATTGTAGTAGAGAATTCCATCCACCAATGAGAAAAGGGCTTCCATCTGGTCTCGCAAAGAGGCCACCTCAGCATCCTGAGCCTGAGCATGCTCAACCAACTGCCCAAACTTGCTAACCACCTTACTCAAATGATGACAAAATCGTGTTTGTAACGTTATCACATGATGAACACGAGATAAAGCATCTACCACCACATTTGATTTTCCTGGATGATGCTCAATAGGAAACTCCCCAAACTCTATGAGTTTGACCATCTAACAAGCTTGCCTAGTGTTCAACTCCTTTTGTGTGAAAAGATACACAAGTGGTTTGTGATCTGTCAACACCACGAACACTGCACCATAAAGATAGTGCCGCCACATCCGCAAAACATGAACAATAGAGAGTAACTCTTGCTCATATGTGGAATAGCGTTGCTCTGCGGAATTCAAAGTTTGACTCTCATATGCAATAGGCTGTCCCTCTTGCATGAAAACTCCTCCCAGTGCATAACCACTCGCATCGCATGTCATCTCTGGAGAAGGGAGAAAAAGACAAGCTCGAGGATTCAAGCTTAGGAAAGTAAACTTGAGAGGTTCAAGGTTAGGACTGTATTCCTAACCTTGACGTGAGCAGTAGCAACTATAAAAGTAGGACTTAGAATGTTTTTAGACTTATCCCTAATACAAAATACATTGCAATACATCGTCATTCTGCTTATCTCTTTGGCTCTTCATGGCAATGGCAATGTCTTACTTACCCACCGCCTTCAAGGGATCAAAGGCGTGGGACTAACACCTTCAAGCACATGTTCATAGTCTCTACTTGGCTTGGCACAAGCAGGTAAGTGCATTCATCTTGTAGTGTAGTTTTAGATTTAGAGACTAGATTAGATTTGAAACTCCTAGGAAGATCTTGTGTGGACGTTTCCTCCCAGTTTAGAGATTGCAGGAGTTTTCAATCTCGTAAGGTTTCGATAGATCAGCAATGCGAAGCACTGGAGTCTCGCTCAACAATCGCTTCAGCGCCACAAAACTCTCCTCTTGTGGCTTCTTCCACTCAAATGGCACATTCTTGCATAACAACCGCGTCAAAGGAATAGCCACCTCTGCAAACTTATGCTAGAAATGTCGGTAGTAACTAGCCATACCAAGAAAACTGCACAACTCAGCCACTGTAGTCGGTGTACGTCAGTTTTCCACCACAGCTACCTTCCTTAGATCTGTCTTGACACCTTTAGATGTCAAAATATGGCCTAGATATTCCACCTCCAACTTTGCAAATTCACATTTGCTCTTCTTTGCATAAAATTTGCTGTCTCAAAGTAATAAAAGAACCTTGCACAAATGCACCTTATGCTCCTCCATATTCTTGCTAAAAACAAGAATATCGTCCAGGAAAATCTCCACAAACTCATGAAGATAACGCCCAAATACCTCTGTCATCAACCGAGTAAATGTGGTTGGTGCATTCGTCAAACCAAACGGCATAACTATAAACTCAAAATGTCCGAAGCTTGTGTTGAATGCCGTCTTGGAGATAGATGCATCATCCATTGCAATCTGATGATATCCACTCCTCAGATCAATCTTGGTAAACACTTGTGCTTCATCAAGCTTGTCTAGGATATCATCCACACGTGGCATCGGCATTTTATCCTTCACTGTCTTCTTGTTCAAAGCATGGTAGTCCATACACATTTGCATTGAACCGTCCTTCTTCTTCACAAGCAAGATCGAAGCACCAAATGGAGACTTACTTAGCTAAATAAATCCAAACTCAAGTAACTCCTTGACTTGTCGTTGAACTTCTTGCTCCTCCGTATAACTTAACCGAAATAGACGCCAATAAATTGGCTGCATCCCCGGCTCCAATGTAATCCCATGCTCCACACCTCATAACGAAGGCAATCCATAAAGAAGTTCAGATGGAAAAACATCAGAAAACTCATCAAGTACATCCCGTACAGTTGCTTCTCCCCCACACGTGCCTTTGTCCCCCAAGTCACAAACAAACAACAAGTAACTCAAAAGTGCTTTTCCATTACGACAAACCCACTTCAAAGATGTAGCAGAGAGCATAACAACTGGTGGCTAAATGCCCTAGCCAAACCACACATCTTTAACGCCACTATACTCCAGCGAGATACGCTTAATACTCCACTTTATCTCTGAATCCACCTTCACCAACCATGGCATCCCAAGAATGAGATCTACACAATGGATATCTGCGAGATAAAAAGTTTCCACAAGTGTGGTTTTGCCAACCAACACTTCTAGCCCCTCGACACAAGCATCGAAATGCTGAGCAGAGGTAGCTGCACCTTCCACTGTGTATGGAAGAACTCCGCGTGTGACCAGGCCATGCTCCACAACAAACTTTGCTAAAACAAAGTTGTCATCGCTCCCACTATCCAGTAAAATCCACACTGGATCGCCACGAAACATGCCCTCCAGCATTAAAGTTGATTTATGCGTATCCTCGAGCTCCATCTTGTTCCACACAGAGTTGAGCTGATGAGCAATGATCGAAAGTCTCTTCCTCCTCGTTTCCGTCATCCTCATGCTACAAAGTTTGCAACTTTTTTGTATCTGACTTATCATGAGAAGAAGATTGGCCATAAGGGCTCACAGCTCATGAACCACATCTTGAATGGTTCAAATCTTTGCAGCTTCATCGGCACCACCATCGACAATAGGATTCCAACATTCAGCTTGGTCAGCCATCGCAACCAACTCCTCTGATACCAATGTTATGATCCGGCGCAAAAAGACAGAGATCTAGTCGCCCTAGACTATGCTATACCACCTCTTGAGGTTCCTCACCACCCAACCACCCCCGAGCTACCTCAAAAGCTCCACTACGCCACCGCTCCACTGTGAGTGCTAGGGTAGGTTAAGTCCCTTACCCTAACATGCCTTAATATACCTTGAGTCTCCCTTTGACCGACGTTGACCACGTAGTCAAAGCTGGCACCTAACAGAGTTGGCGATAAATTGTGATTGCCTTGTTTATACAAGTCAGTGCTATGATTCTATGTTGAAGCTCGTTAAGGTGTGTTTTATAACTAAGTTGTGTTGCTTCTCTTTGTCTTTCTGCAGTTGATATTCAGATTCTACGAGTTCGACTGTCTTGGAGACGACGAATTAGGAAGCAGCGCCCAATATCTGTGGGGAAAGGTGGGTTTGTGTTTAGTTTGATACTGTATGACCCCGCTTCAGGTTGCTGCCTTCTTCTCCTTTGATGAAGCCATCAAGGCGACTTATTCTCTTTTTGTCAATCTAGTTCTTTGTTTTGCTGACCATACCCAAGGATGTTGTGAAACACAAGTGGCCGGTGGAAAAGGAAGGCCACGAGTTGACGTTCGAGATACTCAGGGACATAGTGAATCTGCTCTTTGCTTGCCCACTATCCGGGCTCTGATGAAAATAGCCAGCAGATCATCCAGGCGTTCTCTTGTCACGGGGTCGACGAAAGGTTGCTGCAAACGACTAACTTAACTCATATTTTGAGGTGGCGAGTACTGTGTACCTGTACCTGTGCGTCTGAACTGCTTTGTATTGTGACTCACTCGGTTGCAGGTGAAACGATACACTGGGCTTTTTGGTGCCGAGGAACTTGAACGGGCAGATGTGTTTTTCAAAGCTATGGTGGTCAAAGTCAACCCTATTGCTTGTCTGACGCGTGGCTATCTGGATGCGCTGTCAAGAATGTTTTCCCGCTTATACTCAATAGTAAAGTCGAGTGATTGCAGCCGCTCTATCGACCTCTTTCGCTTCTTGTTGGCTTGAGGAGAAACTGAAATGATCCATTCAGAGAATGAGTCTCACCGTCAGCAGGTAGTGCCTCCACTTTGTCACTGCATGGATAACTCCCAGCATCTCTTGTTCATTTGCTGGTTGGCAAGACTCCACCTCCGAGAAATTCCAGCTCTCAAAAGCTATTAATCCATGCACTTGCTTCAAGATAGCTCCCACTCCAGCATCAGAAGCATCTGTTTTGAAGATGAATTTCTTGAAAAATCTGGGAGATGGAGAATTGGAGCTGAGGTTCAATGCGTGACTTCTTCTTCCACCAGAGACAACGCCGCCAAGTGTGATGGAGCAAATCCGAAACGAAGACTGGATCTCGGAGGTCTCGAGCTCGACGATCCAGGGACAGGCTCATGCTCCAGTTCAAACCACACGACGAGGAATGCAGCAACACCACAGCGATCCACAGCATTGCGTTCGAGAACAAAGGAGTCTCCATGATGGAGCCGGAGTTGGGCGATGGCTACAGTCGAATCGATGGAAGGTACGTCCCCACCCCCACGATCTCGAAACTATATAAGTTTCTCCATCACAGTCCGTCCTCGTTTGTTCTCTTCCTCAGGTACATTGGTGGCGTGAACGAATTGAAAAACAAGGGCCACCTTCGCAAGCTCTTGCATGATCCAAGCGGGGAGAGACACCGTCATGGCGAGCTTGGTGCCATGCCGCCGGTTTATAGCGCTGTACGGTGGTACGGTGCCAGCAAAAGGCTCATCGGAAAAGGTGGCGGACCGGTATAAAAGAACCCCAAAGAGGTGAAAGGACAAACCCTATCACACCGACTATAGTGGGTGATGTCTGAAATCTGTTGCTTGTTGGGTGGCGCGTGGTTTGCGGGTTGGAGCTGCTGGTTGTGCATTAAAGATGGAGATTGCAGCTTTGGTGAGGCGGGGTATGACACTGGAGCTTCCACCAGGGATGGTGAGGCCGAGAAGAAACTTGAGAATGGCATGGATTCGGTGATACTTCCCCTGGAGCTCTACAGCGTGAGGGAGCGAGGGAGAGAGGAGTGCGCCATTTGCCTTGGGCATTTTGGCGATGGGCAAGAGGTGAATGTGTTGCCCAAGTGCAAGCACTTCTACCATCGCGACTGTATCTCGATGTGGCTCTCCAAGAAACACACTTGCCCGATTTGCCGCTGTAGCGTCTGACACGAGCCAACCGAACTTAAAAGGCTCTGAAATTACAAAGACTTAAGTTGATGATCCAGAAATAGAAGAAATGTGAGCTCTTTTTTATTAAAAAGATTTTTATCACCAAAACAAAAACAATACCATCGTTTAGGACTTAGTCGCTGTCCACCACAGTTAGGCGAGCGATGGTGGAAATCACTCCATCAGTAGCACTGTTCACGGATGCAGTGGCCTCGTCCAGTACCCCAACACGGGCTTGTTTTAGCATAATTCGTCCAGGCATAACGAAGATGATCTCCGATCCAAGCTCAACATCATTCCACAGAATCCAACGCTGATAGGACAGTTTGCTAAGTGTCTTAGAACTAATTATTCTTGTAAGTGGTAAGTGCACCCTTGGATAAATGACTAGGAGACCTCGTGCGTGGCAAAGAAGAAAAGCAGTAAATGTGTAAAAGTTTTCTTTCTTTTCTTATGTCTGAAAATGGTGAGAACTGGAGCATGGGACAGAGAGAATTGTTTTGCCTCATTCCACCAAGAACAAACATAAATCCCGATGACAAACCCTCGATAATGTACTGCCCATTCACTCGCCCCGGCAAGAATACCACTGGACGGATCGAGTTTATGCCTTTGTTGTTATTTAAAGTTCCAAAGCCATTATAGAAGTTTAGAAATTCCTACCTTAAGCTCCACTAGTGGAAACACTGAAGCGTTTCCAGGCCAGCTTTCCGGAAGCTTAGAGTCTTCAATCTCTCATGGTGCCTCGCTGCGAATGCAAGAGTACTGCCAGGAGAGATAACCGAGTAGAAGCAAACAGAAACCAAGTTCTTCGGTCTGTAAAAGCCTGAGAAGTAAAAGCACAAGCTGGTTTAAAAACTTCAAATGTAAAAAAGACGTACCACATCAATTGGCGAATTAAAAATGCAATGCAGTATGTCAAGAAGAACTTCTGAAATTTCGCGAGGCTGATGACATGATGTAGGTGTGCAAGAGGGCGGCCCTGTTAAGCGGCGCTGCGGCGGCAGTGCGAGCTTCCCCTGGAACAAGTGCTGCCTCCTTCCCCGCGTGCCGTGCAGCTCTCGGCATCGGCTGGGCGATCCATGCTCGCGTCCTTCACACCACAGCGTGGTCCAATCCTTGCCTTCAATGCGGTGAGAAGTGCGCGGTCGTCCCACATATGGGAGTGAGAAAGAGCGTGTTCAAAGATACAAAAGGAGTGGAGTTGTGGGCGCTTGATTGATGCTCGAGATCATCCCTTACGTGCCAGATGCGTCGGAGTTGCAAGAGCCATAGAAACTTTACCTTGGGACAAGCCTGTAAATATTGGTGGCGTAGCTCGTAGTCCTCTTGGGAAGAGAAAAAGAACAAGATCAAGTGGCTATTCCTCTTCCTTCTCCTCCGGTCAGGAGCTCATTTGAAATCTTTGCAAAAACGAAAGACCAACACACACAAAAACGAGAGAGCAGCGTGAGCCAAGCAAGCAAGCGATCCAGGCAGCCATAGCAGCAATCCAGCTCCATCCAAGAAATTATCTCTGCAAGAAGATGCCGAATATTCCTTTTCGGCTGAAACAAAAACATTGCAAATGAATGCCAGGTCTCCAAGAGCTTTGGATTCGGCTCCAAAACACTCCTATCTTATAATAGCTAAAGATTTTACGTAGCCTGAATGGAGGTCTTCCTCATTGATAGATCTCCAAAAGCCTTGACAGGGCTACACCTCTTACTTCAAGGCTCATCAATGTCAAATTCTGTGTCAGATAAAAACCACAACCTTCGGAGTCAAAGTCACGTATTCCAGAATGTATCTTACCTCCGACGGGATGAGTTGTCATCCAATCCTTCCAAAGAGTCGTCAGACCAGTACCGCCACATGCCTCATAAACGGCTGCTTTCCGGTGCTCAAGGGCAGCACCGAGCGCTGAGGACATCAGACAGTTACAGTTAAGTTAAAACTGCCAAGAAGAAGGGAGGCCGGAAACCAAACCTTTCGCGAAGTCAGGATTCCTGCTGATCATCTTGCTGTAGAAGTCACGGATGCTAATCATATCGAACTTCCTCTGCCCATAATTCTTCTTGGACCGAGTATTGCGAGCCGGGATCTCCTCGAATTCCACCACAATTCCGCCAAGATTTCCACGGCTATCAAGTACTGGAGCACCAACCTCCACCATCTCGAACGGAAGCATCACCTTGCGGTAAGGCTTGCACTCGCCACTGCTAAGGCTTTGACCGTCCAGGAAGATGCCCGACACGCACTTGATGTCCCCGGACTCTGGGTCGCGCTTCCAGCTATAGGGACTACCCGAGTTGCAGAACCAGTCATTCCAGTTGATGCAATAGTTGAAGATGACGCCAGGTTCGATCGGCGTCAGAACGGCGATCGGATCCTTGAAAGACACCACGCACTCGTACTCCAGTGCTGGATCCGAGAACACCAGGACATGCCTGCCAGAGGTGGAGCTACGGTCGCAGCAAGAGGCGGCGGTGAAGCAAGATCCATCGGGTTTCACCAAGGCGGCCATGCCCCTATAGTTGTCGTTGCTCGGCTCGTCATCGCCCTCCACAAAGTGCAAGCGAGCCACCATCTTGGAGACCCTGGACTGTAGCAGTTCGCGAGCTTGCTCTGGCCTCAAGCGCCTAAACGGGCCACCGCCCTTGAGCTCCTTGACGTACGGCCACAGGTTTTTGACACTGTTGTGGAATGCCTTGCGCTGCCTCGACTCTGCGGCCTCTCTCCTTTGCTTCTTCCTTGCGACCAGATCCTCCTCGTCTCGCTGTCGGATGAGATCCTGGACGGCCGGGTGATCGCAAGCCGAGCACGCATCCCTGGTGGCAGAGCAGCGGCGGCCAGTGACGAGGAGTGCTTGGTCGTGGCTGCTACCATCGCCCAAGTCGGGCTGGTCTTGGAGCAAGGCTACCATGTCGTCAAGAGAGAGCACCGAGTTGCCGTCGGCGTCTGGGACTAGAGCGCAGTCGGCGATGCGGAGGGAGTCCGGGTCCAGGCCCCAGTGGCGAGCGATGGAGCTTACCATCATCTTGGCGCCGTCCTGGAGTGGGAAGCACAGCGCCTCGTCCCCCCACTTCATCCACACCACCGCCATAGCTCCGCTTCGACCTAATTAAAATTGCTAAACTGCGTCACTGCCGTTGTCTCAATTTTGCGTCGATCAGCTTTCGGTCCGCAAGCTTGAAGTCTATATCCGAGGTGGTGGATTTCCCATTGCTTTCCACTTGCAAGCGGTCCTCCACTGGTGGCTCCGCTTAAAACTCTTATCCCATCCAAACGTACAAACAAACCAGAGAAAAATAAAACATTAAATCAATAGGACATTATTTACCTTGATGTGGAAAGAAACTCTACAAACACTAACACAAGTTGTATTTTGTCTCCTACTATTGATACAATGGCCTCCATCTGAAAACCACCCCAAGAGTGCACACTTTGGGGATAAAAGCCTTATCAGTGAAGTAATGATTCAGAGTATGAGTCAGCTGTCATAGTAGAACTAGATTGAACATTGACACCAGTTTATGCCCAAGACAAGTTTCAAGAGTTTAAGGATCTCAATTGGTCACAACCCTAAAATTATTACTAATTCCCCACTAATTAAGCACACTTAGTTTAATGTTTTGATTACTGCTGGTATATCACTAATTAATCATACTTAGTTTAAAACTATAATTATATAAGATGGGCACACTTTAACCCTTTGACATATTTATATGACACATTTCCCTCAATAATCACTAAATGATAGTTTCTAATGTTTACCAAAAATATAATTTCCCATTATGAGGTCCAAGTGTATAGTTACGATGCCATATACTAATATTAACATAGTGGGATTTTGGTAGTTGTTAAATTGGTTTCAATCCAGACCACTCACTTCTATATATAAACTAAGGTTTTCTGGTTAATTAATATGCACATTTTTTGTATTCTCTTTCCATATTTCATGCACTCACATTGGTGGAAGTGAAAGGCACATTTCAATGTCCCTGAGGAGTGCTTGGATTTGGGATTTTGGTTTAAATCTAACTTTTGCATTGTCTAGATCTAATTTTTTCCATTTTCTTTTCTTTTATTGTTTCCTTTTAAGATTTTGGTTTAGATCTAGCTTTTCCATTATTTAGATTTCCCTTTCCTTTTAGTTTTTTTTTCATTTCTCTTCTTTTGCTCTTTCCTTTTCATTCATTTTCATGGCAGAGCAATAGTCTCTTCCTCCTTTGACTATGGAGCAGCAATTGATGCAATTGCTTGATGTTATATGATTGCAATTAAATAATCAAACTCAGTTGATGGCGGCATTCATGGCATGTGGCACAACTCCTCTTGCTCTTGGTGCCAATCTTCGCCTTCGACCAAAGTTCTTTCATGGGAATCTTGGGGATGATGTATACTATTAGTTTGATCACTTCACAGTGATTGCCACAATCATTCTTAGGATGATGCTCACTTTTTGCATGAGTTTCCCACGTGTCTCCAAGGGACAGCACTGCAATGGTACAATTGTTTGAGTGTAGCCACTCGTGGGGATGGAGTGTTTTCCCGGACGTCTTTAAACACGTATTTAGACATGCCGATGATTGTGATGATGCCTTTCAACAATTGCATTGTTTTCATCAAGGGCCATCGGAGTCAGTGATGCAATTTAGTGCTCGTTTCTGAAGCCTGCTACTTCGTGTGGAGACAAATATGTTGGAGCGGATTAAGCTAGGATGTTGTGGCCAACACTTATCAAGATCTTGCTGGACTTGTGTATGCACTTACTCCAACCACATTTAACGATGCTCTTTCCTTGGCACAATGTTATGAGATATCGCCTCTTCCACTTCTTGCTACACGTCCTTCAGCTCCACTTCATGTGGGTGATGGTCCTGTTCCAATGGAGGTTGATGCTACTACTGCTTGAGTCCAAGGACAAAGGTGTGGACGTGGTCATGGTCATGATATTCGCTGTTAGGCATGTGATGAAGTTGGTCACACTTATCGGCGTTATTGGCGTTTTTCATATTGGTGATCCATTTCTTGGGTGGAGATCTTGGCGTCAACGTCCTGTTGGTGTTGTTGTAATGGAAATGCTAGACATTGAGATGCATCTAGGAAATGAGGAGTCATGCAAGTAACGAAGGGACCTTGCGCAAATAAGTCACTGACCCTTCCATTTTTTTTTCAGAAGTATTATCAAGGGGTTCACTCAGCACCAGTTCATTTAGTATTTACTTTCCAAGCTCATTTTTATAACAAGAGGTCTTTTATTATTTTCTCTGTGTTGGTTGATATAGGTTTGAGTTTATCTTCTATTACTTGACCTGTTGCTGTCAGGAATCCCCCAATTCTTGCCACATTCCTGACTCTCGCCGGATTCCTAACCTGCAGACCACATTCCTGACTCTCGAGACACTTCCCTATTCCTGACTCTCGAGACACTTTCCTATTCCTGACTCTCGAGACACTTCCCGATTCCTGAGTCTCGAGCCACATTCCTGATGATGATGTGGCACCTCCTCGACCTCAGCTATATTTAGGCCGTCCTCGATCCAAGAGTGGTGGAGCTTCATCAACCTATAGTATATATAGGTTAGCCTTGTTCCATTTCTCCACAATCTGAATCAACGCCAGTTTAAGGCCTCTTCTTTGTTTCCACTAGCTTTTCTCTTTGTCTTTTTGCATTTTCCAATCTTGATCTTGTCAGGGGTCTTGACAGTTTGATTCAGATTGTGTTTTTTCGTTTTTTGATTTAGCTCGTTTTGATTGTTTGATTACCTTTGCCTTTTTTTCCCCCTTTTTCCTTTCTTCTTGCCAATGGAGTCTCCAAGCCATCCTGATTTCTTTGCTGAAGTCCTTGCAAAAATCCAGTCTGAGAATACTGAGCTGAAGGTGACCCTTCTTCGCATGCAGCAGGAGCTTGCTTCACTTTCGGCTCAAGGATCCAGCAAAGTTCCTGAACCGAAGGTGAGCTTCTCGGCGAAATTTTCAGGCAAGCGTTCGGAGCTTCGCGGATTCCTGAACCAGATGGAGTTGATCTTCGCACTTCAACATCGGCGGTACCCTACTCCCGAGTCTCAAATCGGCGCGATTGGGACGTTGCTCAAAGGTGCAGCTTTGTCATGGTTTTCTCCTCTTTTGGAGAAGAGCATGAAAGGGGTCGTGGTTCTAGAGCTGATGGATCTTCAATTGTTCAAAGAGAAGCTCGAAGCATGTTTTGGGGAGACAGATCGGGTTCGGGCTGCTACCACAAAGATGAGACGTCTCTCTCAGGGGTCTCGTCCTGCCTCGATCTACGCTGCAGAGTTCCAACTCCTTGCTTTGGACACTCAGTGGGATGAGCGGGCCCTGATTGACCAATTTTGTTTCAGCCTCAAAAACGGTGTCAAGGATTTGTTGCTCACCATGGAGGATCCCAAGGATCTGTCGGATGCCATCAACAAAGCTGTTCGATGTGACAATCATCTCTTTGAACGTCGTCAGGAAAGTCGCCACACCGCTGTTTTTCCGTCCCAGACTCAGGAATCCCAGCTTGAGTCTTCGGGGCATACTCCTGAACCTACTGCTCCGGTTCCAATGGATATTTCTGGTACTCTCCGACTCATTAGAGGGAAGTTGAGTCCTGTTGAGAAGCAACGTCGAATATCTCATAATCTTTGCCTCTATTGTGCTGATCCTAATCACAAAGCAGCTATATGTCCGAAGAAGCCTCCTCGACTGCTCGAGTTCACTCTGCCTCAAAGTCCACCTCTATTGCAGTCGGGAAACGACCCTGTCCAAACAGAGTAGGAGCTGTCTGTTTGGACTCCCCGAATAAAAATCACTTTTCTTCTTTATCAAGCTCCTCACCACCTTTCATCAAAGCCACCACCAATTCCCGCAACTTTCGCGTCCCATGTCTCCTTTCTTTCACCGGACAATCAGGACTCAAGGCTCTGGCATTACTGGACTCGGGTGCAACTTCCTGCTTCATGGACACGGACTTTGCTGCCCGACATCACGTTCCTCTTTCTCCTACCATACGGGATTTGAGGGTTGAAGGCATCGGCGGACATTTTGTGTCTCCATCTTCTGGACTTAGGGAAACGTTGCTCATTCGAGTACACATCGGGTCCACCGTCACCGATATCGCCTTCAGCATCATCAACAGCAAGTCCTCCTCTGTGGTGCTCGGTCTTCCTTGGTTCCAACTACATCAGCCTCAGATCTGTTGGAAGGAATTACAGCTCATCTCTCCCACGGCTTCCCCTGCTGTTCATCGAGTCCGAATCAGGAAAAGTTCCCTAAACTCAAATTGGGGTTCTGTTCCTGACTCTATAAAGTTTTCACCCTCTTCTTTTTCCTCTCTTCCATCTTACACTGGATCGTATTCTCATCTCATCATTCCATTTAGTCGTACGCCTCCTCCTATCTCCACAATCACTATGAAAGAACTTCTTCATGAAGAACCTCTTTTTCTTTTTGGTTTGCATGTTTCTCTTGTCAGTCTTCCTGAGAAGTATCATGATTTTGGGGATGTGTTTAACAAGAAAAAAGCTAGTGTACTGCCTGTTCATCGGCCTTATGATTGTCCCATTGATTTACAGGAAGGAGCGTCACCTCCGTGGGGGCCTATCTATGGGTTATCCCCATCCGAGCTTAAGGCCCTCAAAGAGTACATGGATGAGAACCTTGCCTCGGGCTACATTCAGCATTCGCAGTCCCCGGCTGGAGCGCCTGTCTTCTTTGTCAAGAAGAAGGATGGGAGCTTGCGGCTAGTCATCGACTACCGAGGTTTGAACAAGGTGACTGTTCAGAACTGTTATCCGCTGCCCCTGATCTCGGACCTGTTGGAACACCTCGGCGGTGCCCGCTTCTTCACCAAGATCGACCTCCATGGAGCATACAACCTGATCCGGATCCGGCCTGGTGATGAATGGAAGACTGCGTTCCGAACCCGCTATGGCCACTTCGAGTACACTATCATGCCATTTGGCTTGACAAATGCTCCAGCAGTTTTCCAACACATGGCGAACGACATCTTTCGGGAGTTTCTTGATCAGATGGTGATCGTCTATCTCGATGACATCCTTATCTACTCAAAAACTCAGGAGGAGCATGACGAACATGTTCGCAAGGTGCTAGTGAAGCTGCGAGAACACGGCCTATACGCGAAGCTTGAGAAATGTTCCTTTGATCAG